CGTTAGCATCTTCTGACAACACAATACTGAATTTGCTAGGCGTACAGTATTCGCCGAAAATCACGTAATGTGCCGATAGATGCGAACGATTGATACTCTTTCGCTAATTGGCATTGACTCAGATTGTGATATTGATTATCGTGTACTCTATTCTGAAGTCATTTCAGTCATGATAGGATACGGGCTTTTTAACGAGTTGCGTTCTGACCACTAGCAAACTTATCTATTGTAAAAACTGACTTCTTAGGTAGTATGCCTTTTTATAATTTATTTTGACTGCCTGTATAAATACAAATGTATTTTATGGAAAACATGCACAAAAAATATTTCTTGTACTTGTTTGATAGCAATCTACGCCTTCTTTAAATGTTAAACTTAAAGAAAGGGCATCGTTTGGTTTTAAAAAAGTCTCTCAATTGTCGAATAATTTTCTAACCTACTGACTGCCACACTCGAATTCAAGGATTGAAAACTGCGCACTATGTACATCCTGTTTAAGGAAAATTACGTTTTCGCCTACGATTTGAGAAAGAAGTCACATAGTTGTCATAAAATATTTCAACAGATGTGGAACATGCCTTATGCAGTATAAGCGGCATTCATAAGTTGACGGATACGACGTATTATGAATTAACGCCTCACAATTGTAAAAAAGCTCATGACTAGCAACTTTTTTTAAACCGGAAGATACCCTTTCTTTAAGTACAAAATTTAGAGAAATCGTAATTTACTATCAAACAAGTACAATAAATATTTTTTCCTGCACATTTTTCCATAAAATACATTTGAATTTATAAAGGCAGTCAAAATCAATGATAAAAACGCATGCTATTTAAGTAGTCAGTTTTTACAATAGATACGTTTTGCTAGTAGTCAGATCGAAGCTCGTTAAAAAGCCCGTATCCTATCATGACTGAAATGACTTCAGAATAGAGTGCACGATAATCAGTATGACAACCTGAGTCAATGGCGATTAGCAAAAGAGTATCAATCTTTCGCATACTCGGCATTTTGCGTGATTATCGGCGAATACTGTACGCCTAGCGAATCCAGTGCTGTGTTGTCAGAAGATGCTAACGCAGGCACCGTCACTTCGGTGGCCAACGCCGATTTCGGGTGACGAGCCCATATTGCCCCCACAACCTGTATAAGCACTGCCTCGGTCGTTGCAGGCACCCGTTGGCGTAGACACCTGAAGAAGTTGTTCGGTAGACAACCTGAAAGGCTTCGTTAGTATCGACTCGGCGATTCTTATCGACAAGGGGTGCGAAAATCATACTCAAGATGTATCTAATTTCACCTTTACTTCGTCAGGTGGGTATTTGTTTAAGTACCTTCTTGTCCAGGTGTCTCGTTGTTCGGCCAGTGTATCTGGTTCCACAGGAGGCAATTTCAAGAGGATATCCACATGTTGGTGGAATAACGATGTCCTCCTAGGATGTATCATCACATTTTACCAACGTATCCTATAAACTGCCTCCGTATAAAACTATAAACTGCCTCCATGATATTATTCGGGACTAGAAATATTATACAGATATGCCCGTGAAAAACCCTTAAAAAATATATACGTGGTGCCCACAGAATATGCAATTTCTTGGCCATGGCTAGGTCACTATTGCCTTAACCTCAGATAGCTATACCGATCTACATTATACAGATACTAATAGAGAGTGCAGTGGGCAGGTAATATGAAAAGAAGCATTTTGGTGGCAAGTGAAATATGCAAAAAGAACTGCGATATTGGTTGTTGATGTATATATAAGAATGTGATTTATTTCGAATATGCTATATTTAGAGATAATATGATGGAAAACTGGTCTAGATGAAGATTGACAATTTTCTTCTCAAACGACTGTGAGGCTTTGTTTTGTTAAAATCTGAGCACTTTCATAGTAGGCAGTCCAGAGGGCAAAGCATCAATAAGAAATAAAGGCGCAAAATACGTCATTTTCAGATCACGTAATCCATCTGTGGACTGAGCCTCGGATCTTCGTCCGCAAGCTCTTCATTTCCTCTTTGGCGGCATGAATTGCAGATGCGCGAACAGACTGATGTACATTGACAGCCGTGTGCCTGGTCATCCCGGAGAAACAGGGCAACCACGAAACCTGCAATGAAAAGCAGTTTTTTTTTTACTTTGGCGATCGTAATATTAACCTTAATGTCGTCACCATTACATTTGCTAGGAAGGGATACTCGTGGTGGAGATGGGAAGATTCCATAAATGGGTCAAACCCGAACCTTTGCTAAATGCCTAGTTCACTCGTAAATATAACAGTATGTCAAATACTAAATATAAAGCTATATGTTTGAATGAATCAGACAAAGCAAAGGGAGACCGGAATGGGCATTTCTGTCTTGTTAGCAGTCATCAGCTAGTCATACCCAATCTCAAGGGTTGGAACCCCCGAGATTCGAACCCGGGACCACTACCATGGCACCACGGGCTCGTTGATTTGTCGGTTGAGATCAGTAATATGATGAATATATGTGCTTCGCTGATCTTTTAGAGGAACAATTAAATTCCGCTTAGCCCAGGAGCTCAAAATTAGGGCCCACCAGACCGTCACATAGTGACTATGATGATATAGTCACGATGTGACGGTGTGGAGAGTTCTACTTGTGAGCTTCTGGGCAAATCGGAAGTTAATTTTTCCTCTACGAGTTCGGCGAAGTACATATATTCATAGCTATATGTGCACATCTCCTGGCAACTCCGTTCGGATAGGTACTCACCTTAAGAGACTGTGTCCACGTAGAGCCAACATCAGTCCAAAACAGGTAACACCCTAACGCTGTAAGTTACGCTTCTTTTTAAACGAGCGGCTTCTAACGCTCGCAATTTCCAGCCAATTTCAGAAGTTTTTGACGTCTGCTGATTATGGATATATTGTGAGGTCATAATAGGACAAGGTCATTCCCTATTGTTTCGAATATCCATTCGCTGTTGTCTAAAAATGAGCAATCAAGTGGATCCGGGTTTAATCTAGGTCGTTGCTTTTGGGTCTAGCGTAAACCCTTATTTACGTTGGCATTCCAGTTCTCTTGGGCTGTGCGTGCAATACTACTTTGTCACTGGTCATTGCATGTGCGGGGAATCAAGAAAATATTCCATAGCATTTATCGTACTGTCAATTCTAACGCATCAACATAATAGTAATGACTTTCAGGGCACCCTGATGGTCTCCTGATGAGCGGCTTTTTTCGCAGTAAGTCACTCAGCAAGGATTAAATCGTTTTCAGTTGGGTACGGGAAACTTATTTCATAAGTATACCCTTATTTAAATGCTAATAACTAACGTTAAAATTTGCTTATAGACTGTTTGCTTACCGAGAAAGCAAAAGGCTGCGCATGTACCGTACACGGGCAGCCAGGCTCCATCCAAGTTGAGCTGCGACGTTACGGCCGCAGTTAGGAGGCCGCTTGGAGCCTACAGTTTCAGAATGTAGACCAGACATACCTTTGAATATATTTTACATAAATATATTTGAATTGACATGAACTCAAAATAAATAATATAAAACCATTCTACTCAAACTTAAATGTTGTTAAGCGTCCATTTGTCAGCAGTGGAAGGTCAGCTTTTTCAAAAGCTGCCATCCTGTCGTGACTAAAGTACCTCAGAAATACGTTACACGATAATCAGTATTGCAACCTCAGGTGGATAATCTGTCAACAATGAAAACAATTCCAAATTTCAGTTTACAGTTCATGAAGTAGCTGTGGCCGCTTCCTTGTCACTCAGCGCTCTGCCCTGTTCCATGACGTGATGCAAGACAGATTAAGAAGTGTCAATGTGATTTCCAAGGCGATGAAGGGGAAGAACATATTTTGAGACTAAATAGTCTTGCTGCAATTGTTTTTCTTGTATCCAAGGAAGGACTGTAAAACAAGTTGTTTCGCACCATGTTGTAATCGTTGTCCGTCTAGGAACTTCTGTTCTATATATATTTCGCTTTAACAGTGACGAACATCTATGAGGGACTAGGTTCTCGTCAAATTTCGTTCCCCGCTTAAAAGAACGCCACTCTTGGTTCCGTAGCTTCACGATAACCGAAACGATGGATTGAAGATCAAACGCTAGTTAGTACCTTGTCAAACATCGGTAGATACAGGAATCGACGCTCCCTCTCTGTGTTTTCAGATTTGTTTTATGGTAAATTTTGAACGGCAGTCCGCTCTCGTTAAAATTGACCCGGCCTGGGTTTATCGAATGGATAGGAAGGCTGCAAGCAGCAATTTTACCCCTAGAATCACGTAGATATTGTTTAAGCTACCTTCTACGATAAGCCGATTATCTTAGTTAATTTACTAACGCAGGATGGGGTTAAAACGATTTTGAGAATTTCACATGTTTAGGCAATATATAAACAAAACACAAAACAGAAAATCATTTGGTACTTTAAACACGCATTTTGAGGAGTACATTTTGGAAGCATTTGTTATAATAGTCAGACCGTCGCAAATAAGTGCATTCAGTCCACTCTTCGCACAATATGCGTAATATCAGTTATTTCAGCATGCTTTAGTGTTCAGTGATAAGAACATGCGCAGCATCTGCTGCTCGGTCTTTGTCCTCAAGAAGGCAGAATGTGATTGTATGCCCATTGGAGGACGTAACTTAACAGCTAGCGGCTGCACACACAGACTCACAAGATAGTCCGCGCACCTCATGTACCAGGCCAACAAATGAGCCGTCCTGGTCGCATATTTTCAGTGCTTCGGAGGCCCGAAATAGTCCGTCAGTTTTCCCAGCCAACACATTTGGCGCATCGCGATAGATTCAGTTAGGCAGGGAAGCTGATGAGTCGGACGAAAAATAATTCGCAAATATGGACAATTGAAACCACCATTCTGTCCCCAGGGTTTGCGTGCTTCCCCCTTCCTTCCTCTTGCACATCGGATACCTCGACTTCGCCAAAAAGGATTTGTTTTACGGACGTCCCCCAGATGTCAGGTTTTTCCCTTTTTGCCTGCTCATAGAAATGCAAAATGTTTAGACCTGCAATTTTCGAAAACAAACGTGTAGGCGGAAATGACGCTGACGTACTGCTGCTGCGTAGACCAGACCATAAATGGTGGCAAAGTTCGTTGGTCCAAAAAGAGTACTGCAGGCTCCAGCCAGAATGACAAAATGTCCCGCCAGCATGGAGAACAGTAAAAACACCCAGATCGTGTACAGATAGATGCCGGGAGCTCCGGCGGCAACAAAAGGGAATGTCGCAAACAGGACTGTCCACAGCAAAAGAAACATCAGTAGTGGGCACTGCAATAGAAAAACAAAACAGTGCATGAATTAAATGTAAGGTGGCCTTATGGGTTCTTAAGCGGTTCTTCTGTAATAAACAGGCAAATTTATGGCAAATTGGGAAAGTGTCCATCTATGAAGTAGTTTTGCATAGGTTGTCTTGGCAGAATATTAACATATATCTTCGTCAGTATTTTGAAAGTGAAAAAGCCGATAGTAACACAGGGAGCCAGTTTTGCACGTTGCAAAAAAGGATACAGCCAACTCAACCACCTAAGACTATCTGCTTATCATCAATTAATTTTCCTGAACTACGGGCTAGATGTCATGTAGGCAGTTGATGCATAGTTTTCGCGCGTATTTCTTTCAAATATAATGGAGTCTTATTTGTAGATAAGTCTCTAAAGTCGGTCAAGATGGTCTTGCGTAGTAAGAATTTTCCTTGATATCAGCGAAGGAATCCATATCAAATTCTGAAACACTTGAAGACTAATATAATTGGATGGCCATCATACTCGGAGGGTGACCGACCAGATAGTCGGCTACTGCTCTTTGACTATGTCTCTGAGGACTAATCCTCGACGGATCTCGAAACGTCAGGCGAATAAATTTATTGTCTCAGCGATCGGGCCGTCTTCTTCTCAGACCATAACGAGTAAGTTAAAATGCCTTCGACTATAAGGGTATTCAACGACGCCGAGTTAACATATTAAAATTGCAGGATGATGCTCCTGCTCAACGATAAGCAGAAATACGACTATGATTTAGCTTATAAATACAGTCATTTTTCAGTTTGCTGTCCGTGATTTTGCAAAAGATAGAATCCAGTCTGTAGTAAAGCTGCAAAGGAAGTTTATAATGGTAAAAAGAATCACATAGATCGCATGTTTTAAGTAAAATCCCCAAGAGCTTACGATTACAACCCCAGTTTTTTTTTACCGAAGGCTGTTCTTCAGCCTGCGGTCTGCAAAAAATGTTTATTCCTACGAACAATGTTGACCTCATTTCACTTGTAAATGTCCTTGTGTTAATCAACAGAAACTGACTAAAGGCAAGAAAGCACTTTTAAATGAATTAAAAGTTTGAGCGCGTGCCTGAAGATTGCACAGATCGAACTGAAGAGAGAATTGGAAAAATCAGGCTAATGTAAATCATGTTTCAGTGATCACACACTTTTTTTCTGAAACGGAAAAGAAGTAACTGTCCCACGACATAGCCGTTTTACACGCTAAAGTACGTTGTCATTGTATTGTTTTTCATTATTTTATCCTTCGATCTTATTTCTCTTCACTGCTGTTTGTTATTTCAGACGTTAAATCATTTAGCTGTCACATCGTCGGTTTTTTGCTTTGACGGTTTCGATAGACTAAGTATATTTTAGCTAATATATGGTACTTTAAAAATCAAACTATGCCTTCTTTTGAAATCGGTTGGCTCTGGTACGTAGTACAACTTGCTAGGCGCACTGTAAACGATCTGTGTTCTTCATGGATTTTCGTGCGAAGTTCTTGTTATTGCATGAGATAGAAGCCAAACTGTAATAAAGGTGCAACGAAAACCTTTGGCGGTAACTAAAGCCAAACTGACCACATATTTGAGTTCGCTACATAAACTCCCGTACGTGCAATCGGAATGTGCAGCGTTCACAAGGGCAGTTTGTTTAATTTGGAGGCTTACCTTGTAAGAAATTCGATCAACTATGAGTCCCCAGGTGACTCGGCCGACGCAATTGAAGAGAGAACTGCCCATAACCACACCGGAAAGAAAGCCATCCTTTAGATTGTTTTCAAGACCATACAGCTAGACAAAAATACAAAGGATAAAGGGTGGCAGATAAATTACCTTTAGATGTTCTGTTTTAAAAAATGCGCATACGCTGAAAATTGACTTCAGTAGCCACAGTTCCATTCAATTTATAGGATTAATTAAAATCGATTTACACTTTAGATTTGAGCACAATATTTCAAGCATATAAGACTTAATCGTGCAGCCGGCTCAAAGGAGATTTGGCGTTATTCTATGTAAAGCGATTAGGAAATTTCTATCTATTTAGGCAAACAGAAGTTTGGACCCATTTTATATTAGTAAAGCTTCAATAAATATTTCGACTTAACTTACGCAATAAAGCGACTGATTTTACTCGATTTTGTTATCCGTAGCAACTATATCTGCACATGAACCACTATAGTACCAACTTGTCTACCATGTCAACTATTCATTTTATTAGTATATTTAGTACAAACCCCATATTATGACGTAATGTAATATGTAGGCCCAATTTTCAAAGATGTTTGATGTATGTAGTAAGTTTATATGGAAGTTTCTATCTACACGCCGTGAATATTCGATTGATAATGTAGTATTAGATTAAGCTACCTACTGTTTAAAAATCGAACCCTAACCATGTTAAAAACAGATAATCATAAAAACCATAGGATACATCAAACTATTTGGACTGCAACATATAACTATTATGGTTATGTTTCAAATATATTTCCACTGAAAATGAAAAGTTACTAAATTATTTCGCTTAAAACACCTAAGATTGATATGTTGTCATTTTAGTAGACCAAAAATACCGTGCATGTTTTTTATGGAGTGCAGGCGAAACTATTGAATGATGCACTCACCTTGTACGTCGATGTTAATAATACCACGGCAACGACGTCGCAGAAAGCAACAGTCCATAATATGTAAAAATCGATGCACTTAAGTGCGTCCCACACAGAGTAATTATTTATTGCTTTTTGCGGTAAAATAATTTCCTCCTGTTCTTTTCTAGATCAAGTAAAGGTGTAAGTTATGCTGCCCCGCTTAACATTTTATTGTTTATTATTTTTGAACTTAGGCTTACATATTTAATTCATCTGCAGGAATTTTCTTTTCCGGCTGCCCTAATTCCGACCTACAATTCATAAAGAATTCGTTAATGAAAACCATACAACTTCAATAATTTTTAAATGTATGTAGATTTAGTGGTTGATGCGTTGCTGGCTCTTACTCGCTGAAATAGTCGACTTCACTGTTTTCCTCCTAAAAACAAATTAAATTGTGCTTCATTAAATAATACTATGTGTTTTGCAAAAGTAATTGAAAGATAGAGATGACTAGGACGTGAAAAGATTCTGTACCTCAGGACTCATTCTTAAAAGAAGAACTCCAATTAACTGAAATGCCAGAGCGATTCCACCAAGGATTAGAAATGCGTTTGGGATGCGTTGCTCCACGGCTTCGGGGTATTTCCTAGTATTAAGGAATGGGTTAATTTTCTAAGGCTCAATATGCATACTCGTTGAGTATTTTAGGGAAACGTTTTAACATATAAGGTCATACCCTGCTACTGGCTGCAGATCATCAGGATTTATTACTTTTGTCTGGATAGGTGTAAATACAAGAGCTCCCAAACCCAGGCCCGCCGCAATTATTCCGACAACAGTAGTTCTTTTTTCGGGAAACCACTGAAATATAAAGAGGGTACATACAACGTTCCTAGAATGGAGCAAGTTTTAAGAAATATTAAAATATCAGCATGAGTTAAAAACACTGGAACTTACCGATGATGCAACTTGATATATGACAGAATAGGGCAACCCCATACCAAGGCCAAACAAAACACAGTAGGTAAAAATAAATGGTCCAAGGCCATGATCAACTGTCAGTCGTGTTAACAAAATACCGCCGCTAAAAGAAATAAATTTCAAATGTTTAGAAACATTGATTTTATCATTTTCATTACGCGTAGCACTAATATGTGTACACCAAAGTTCACTACTGTGGGCGGAAAATGCAATTTTATTTCGTTAATACGTTTAAGCATCATTTTCTTCTTTTATCACTGAAATGTACACATAGCTGCCATCCGGTTTGTTTATGAAATTCAGTTTAGTCATTTCTTGCGACTTTTTGTTGCGTATTCTCGCTCTTTATAATACAAAATGACTTTTCTTATGTAAGAGGAAAAGTAGAAAAGTAGGGATTGCATGCACATGCATGTGCAAAATCACATTCGATTGTTTTAATAATTAATAGCTATAAGTGGCATCATTTAGATAGCATTTGATAAATTTATTAAATGCTATCTACAGGATGCCACTTATAGCTATTAATTATTAAAACCATCGAATGTGATTTTTAAATTTATGACAGACTCAAGAAAAGACTTACCTTGACAAAAAGATTCCCAATATAACAACTACCCTGAATCCTAACTTCTTCGCCATCAATCCACCAATCGGTAAGGATATTGCTTGAAAGGCAATAATAACGGACGAGAACCAGGCGCTTTCACTTTTGGTTATTCCCATATATGAAATTACATACGAATTCATATTTCCTACAATTCAATAACAAAAGTACTTATAAGTATTTCATGTATACATATTGCATTCAAGTCAAATTTGTACACTAAAATTCAGTGTGTCTGAACATTATGTCCATGATAAGGGCAAAAAACTCTTACCGACTGTGTAATAGTAACCTAGAGCGAGGTGATAAAGAAATCCACCTATAACGCTGAGAACTCCCCAGGTTGGAGTCATGATTTGAAAAAAACCCAGCTATCACCTGCTAGGTCATATATATAGTGGCAAAAGGTTAAAACAAAATACGATGCTTCAAAAGGATATTTAATGCATGTTATGCGGTAGTCATCTGACCGAACAGTGGAATTATTATAACGTGTACTGACAAAATCATCCAATTTTAAACGATAGTATCTGCGTGTAGACATCATAGGCCCACTTCCGTTCACTACCGATAACCACCGATTTATCCAGGTCATGTTCAGTCAGTATCAGTCAGTATATTTGGAGTAAATGACCGAAGCCCTTAA